GGGGGGGGGGGGGGGGGGGGGGGGGGGGGTCCATGAGTTTGAGAATAGCCTGATCTACATAGCATGTGCCAGGACATCCAGGGCTACATAGTGAGACCCTTTCTCAAAAGAGAGAGGGGTAAAGGGGAGCCTTCTGGCCCGTTAACCAGCTTTCTCCTCTGCCTTTGGTGACTGAGTGAGGATTCCCATCTTCTAGTTTGGGGTTATGATTTTTTGATTTAACTTTTTTATCAATTTGTTTAATTTACCTGAGGTCCAAGAAAGAATGCTAGAGTTTACTTGTAGTTATCAAGTTTGAGATGCGCAGGGTCACCTGCTTTCCCTGAGAGAAAAAATTTGCCAGATCAGTACTAGGCATCTAGGACCCTGATTGCTTGGAAAGGAAACTTGGCAAAAGATCATTTGAGGCAGCCTGGGCAAGTGCTATCTAGGAAAGAGTAAATACTAACTTTCCAGACAGTTTTCATAAAGGGAAGAGTCGTTGTGTGTCTCTCTTGTAGGAATTATTATTCTGTCCACTTTTTGAATTCAGAGTTACATGATGAAGAAAGGTTCTTTGAGAAATTAATTAGTAAGGAAATTATTCTAAATAATTTAAAACTTTGGTCTTTTTTCATTACTGAACAAGACTTTGATATGCGGACGTCTTACTAATGCTATCAGCTTCTACAGCCGCACTGTCAACTGCACTGAGTGTGTGCACACTTCTGTAATAGTGCACAGGAGACACTAACTGAATGCTAACAAGAAGTCATGCCTGTAATTCTGTGTCAGCGGTTAAGAGTTAAGCTCCCTGGCCAATGGTTCTGAAGTGAAAATATGGTGTCATGGTCAAGAGCCGCAGCCATTTAATTACATGAAATGTTTCCATAAGCGCAGTTTTCTGTTGGGAGTGAAGAGCTTCGTAATATGTTTATCTTCATAGCACTGAGAATTCATCGTTGGGTCTGACCAGCTTTCTGAAAGTGCTCACTTGATTTCAATGTCCCAGTGTCCCAAATGTGGGATTTGGTGCAGGTTCATTTCACCACTGGACTTAAAAAATCTAGTTGTTGTTTCTTAGAAGTTTCTGTTGGTCTGACCCCTTACCAGTGCTAGCAGCTTTTTATGTGGTTTAACATCTTTGCTGGCCTAGTTGTACCTCTCTGCTCCTGAGTGACTGACCAGAAGGCACAGGAGAGAACAGCAGACAGGAAGAAGCCAGCTTCCATGTCTGTTTCTTCTATGTCAGAGGCGTTTTTAGGTCTGCTGTCACCCAGCTTTCAGCCCTAGGTTTTTAAAAATTATTTATTTGTACTTTATGTGCATTGGTGTTTTGCCTCGTGTATGCCTGTGTGAGGGTGCCAGATCTTGGAGTTACAGACAGTTGTGAGCTGCCATGTGGGTGCCAGGAATTGAACCCAGGTCCTCTGGAAGAGCAGTCAGTGCCCTTAACCACTGAGCCATCTCTCCAGCCCCCAGCTAGCTTATAGTCTTAAAACCATCTACTTGCGTGTAGATGTAGTAATTTAATGTGTAGGTATAGTTGTTAATGCCTTGTAAAAGTTTCCCAGAAACCCTTACCGCATAAATATTTTCATATACTTCAATTGTATATATGAGAGAAATTAAAGATTTTTTTTTAATTTGAGCAGTATTTAACCTTTGAATGTCAAATTCATGCAGAAGGCAGTAAGTTGAAAATTGAAATGTATTAAAATATAAATTTTAGCTAAACCATAAAAATTTTGTAATTAACTGAAGTAGTAAACTGATTTATAAGATTCAGTTTCAAGTATACTAAACAATTACTTAACTATAAGGAGTGTTATCTGCAATATATAGGTAGCAAATTCAACAAAGAGCATGCTGGCTTTAAGGTCATCTTCTGATTTGTCAGATACCAAGTCTGTGCTGACTTTTCTGTGTTGTCTGCTTAATGCCTGTCACAGCATATGTTTTTCTAATGAGATTATTTTTATTTTATTAATCTTTCCAAAAGGGATAGTTGAAAGCGGAGCCTCCAGTATGGTTTTCTTCAAAAAAAAAATTTCACTGTCTTTGTAACAACTTTCTCAGTTATGAAAGGAGGCCTTGCTCTGAAACAATCTTGAAGCCATCATGCCTAAGTCTGGAGAGCATTCAGTGGAGTGTATGCTGTGGTACCTCAGGCGAGCTAAATGAGCTCTTTAAAATATGGTTGTATCCTCAAACTGTGTATCACCTCTTGACTATGTCATCACAACGCTGGGGAAGTCTATAACCTTAGTATCAGAAATATAGAGCTTATAAATCTCTTAGCATTCGAAAATGCCATGCATTTCCTATAGCTATGCAAAAGAATTAAACGATGATCGTGTGATTGTCTGTCACTGATAAATATTTGCCTTTGTTCCTTCAATAAAAGTAGAGCATATATTTGACAGACATTAAGCTAATTTTTGTTTTACCGATTTTTAACTAGAAATTATATTTTTAAAAACATTCAGAAAAAATATTTGTCAAATATAGTTTTTAAAAGTTAAGACTAAAAGGAAAAGGCAATAGAAAAACTCACTTAAATGTACTTTGAAGCTCAGTGTTTTTGCTTTCTTAGTTGTCTACCACCTCCCTCCCTTCTCCCTCCCTTCTCTGTTCAAATGGAGAGGATATAAGGAGAGCGCAGACTCCACAGGTCTTAAGCGAAAGCGTTCCCAAGGTACAGTAACCGCAGTTCTGCTCTCTGTAGCTTACGCCCAGCTCTAGTTCAGTTGGCTTAAAGCTTAGAAGTACTAGTTTTTGTTTTTAAATGTGTCTGTTGCGCTATTTGCCGTAGTTTTACATTATTATACATCTATATGAAAACTGCATTCCATTAAGATGTTTGAATATTAAGATGTTCCACTTTAAGAAAACATATAAACAATTTGCAGAGGGACAGTTTGGCTAGATTTATACTTTTCTCTAAATATTTGATCATAACGTTTCAATCTTTTTAACATATGTAGCTCAAAACTATATTAAGAATAATTTGAATAATTACATGGACACTATATTCTCTTAAACACTGCTTGGCAAAAAAAAAGAATAATTTGTTTTGTAAATGGTTAGTAAGCCCTTGCAAAAGTTATTAAACCATTTTAATTTATGAATAGCTTTTTTATTTAAAAGTCTGCACCTGTGGTTGTGTTCTGTGTAACTAAAGTTATTGGTGTGAGTTGTGTTAATTGAATCTTAGTCCTGTGAGAAACACACTCACACAACACACAGGTCAATGACATATCCTGAGCGCTAGTAAAGTAGAATTGGTTTTCATAAAATTTTAAGTTATTTGTAATGTAAGAAGTGGATTTTCTTATAGTATGCCATGTCTTCCCATGGGGAACATGCTACTTCAGCATGTCTTACAGTCTTGACCAGGATCCGCCTGCCTCTGCCTCCCAAGTGCTGGGATTAAAAGCGTGCACCACCACCACCTGGCTAGAACTGTATTCTTAATTTGGGGTCATAAACAACTCATCTTTAGGTAGGACAGGGGCACCCTGCCAATCACTAGCTTTTGAGCAAATCAACCTCTTTTTTTTTTCATTGAATGAATATCTTGATGTTTTTAGTAAAATTAACAAAAGGGATGGAACTTAAGTTTCTGTGCCTGAGCTATTGAAAACGTTTAAATAGGCGTATACCCCCAGAAAGAGGAGCCATGCTCCTGGGGATACAGCTTGATGATCAAGAACCATTTCACCTTCATACAAGAGGTCAATAGTATAAAGTGACGCCAGTCCTCTGCTGTTCCTCATAGCATTGTTGAGCATTTATAAATTTTATGCATTGCTCATGTGACATAAATGTTTTTAATGAACTTTTCTCTACTGAACTAAAAGTATATGGTGTCTGAGTTAGCTACTATTGGTTCAGACACTGAGTATTAGAGTGTTCACACCAAAAAAAAACTGTCTTGAAGAACTTAAGATTCCTCTTTTGTGTGGCAGCTGTTCATAGTTTCAAACTGAGTCGGAATCATGTGGATTGGCACAGCGTGGACGAAGTGTATCTCTACAGCGACGCAACAACGTCCAAAATTGCAAGAACCGTTACCCAAAAACTGGGATTTTCTAAAGGTAATTGTTACATGGTACTGTGGCTTATCAAAATTTTGGGAGTCAAAAGTAGATAATTTATATTCTGTTTTTATATGTTTTAAGTAGAAATTAAATTCAGTGACAACCCTGTTAAATGAAACTTTTATTAAGGTGTATGTATTCACGCCTCAGCTCATAATTATGAATTAGAATCCTAATAAGGATGTGAAAACCGTCTGCCTTGAGACAGTGAAACTTGAGCATGACAGTCGGTACATAGCAAAAAGAGGAGGCTGGAACCAGTGGGGCTGTGACTGGAATTGTTGGGCAGAAGCCATGTTGTCATGGATTCAGTTTCAGTGGAGGAGGGAATGGTGGTTGTGTGAAAAACAATACAACTCTTTGTGTAGTCTTGCTAAAGGAATTGTTTCTCGGCCTTTTACAGTTTAAAGTAGTTTAAAGTGTTCCAGGCTGGCCTCGAACACAAAGAGATCTGTCTGCCTCTACCTCCCAAGTGCTGGGATTAAAGGTGTGTGCCACCACTGCCAGGCTAAAGTAGTTTTATTAAAATAAAACAGAAGGGTTAGCTACATGGCTCTGTAGAGAAAAGGCACTTGCCACCTAAGTGTGATGACCTGAGTTCAAATTCTTAGAAGCCATAAAAACTCAATGCATGTGCGCAGCTGCCATCCTAGACACTTAGTGCACAGCTGCGATCCTAGACACTTAGTGCACAGCTGCGATCCTAGACACTTAGTGCACAACTGCCGTCCTAGACACTTAGTGCACAGCTGCGATCCTAGACACTTAGTGCACAGCTGCGATCCTAGACACTTAGTGCACAGCTGCGATCCTAGACGCTTAGTGCACAGCTGCAGTCCTAGACACTTAGTGCACAGCTGCCGTCCTAGACACTTAGTGCACAGCTGCGATCCTAGACGCTTAGTGCACAGCTGCGGTCCTAGACGCTTAGTGCGCAGCTGCGATCCTAGATGCTTAGTGTGCAGCTGCGATCCTAGACACTTAGTGCACAGCTGCCGTCCTAGACACTTAGTGCACAGCTGCCGTCCTAGACGCTTAGTGCGCAGCTGCCGTCCTAGATGCTTAGTGCACAGCTGCCATTCTAGACACTTAGTGCACAGCTGCGATCCTAGACACTTAGTGCACAGCTGCGATCCTAGACACTTAGTGCACAGCTGCGATCCTAGACGCTTAGTGCACAGCTGCGATCCTAGACACTTAGTGCACAGCTGCGATCCTAGATGCTTAGTGCACAGCTGCGATCCTAGACGCTTAGTGCGCAGCTGCGATCCTAGACACTTAGTGCACAGCTGCCGTCCTAGACACTTAGTGCACAGCTGCCGTCCTAGACGCTTAGTGCGCAGCTGCCGTCCTAGATGCTTAGTGCACAGCTGCCATTCTAGACACTTAGTGCACAGCTGCGATCCTAGACACTTAGTGCACAGCTGCGATCCTAGACACTTAGTGCACAGCTGCGATCCTAGACGCTTAGTGCACAGCTGCGATCCTAGACACTTAGTGCACAGCTGCGATCCTAGATGCTTAGTGCACAGCTGCGATCCTAGACGCTTAGTGCGCAGCTGCGATCCTAGATGCTTAGTGTGCATATAAAATCCCAGCACTGCTCCAGGGAGGCAAGACCCAGGCTGAATCCGGGGAAGCTGAGAGCAAGAGGCTGCTTTGTGGAAAGAGAGCACTGAACACCTGAGGCTGTCCCCTTAACCTTGCACATGCCTCCCACATATTGTCCCCTTTTCCTGTCTATTATGGGCGTGTGTGCACGTGCACGCACCCACACAAATATTTTTTTCTGAAAAGAGTGTTAAGAGAAGATAGAGCATTCTCAATAAGTTTGAAAATTCATTTTTAAGGCTAAGAAGATGTTATTATGTCATTCTTTTATTTGCTGTAAACGTATCTGAATATTTTTGTTTATAGTTAATTGTATTTTGTGGGGTACCTTTTTATATCTAATTGAATATGTGTACTTTTTGACTAGCAAGCTATTTTTTCTCAGGGTGTATCCTTGGCTATCCTTGAACTCACTCTTTAGACCAGGTTGGCCTTATACTCACAGAGATCCTCTTGCCTCTACCTCGTGAGTGCTAGAATTAAAGGCATGTGCCACGATACCTGGTTTGCATTTTTAATATAGATGTTATTTATTTTTCTAGGTTGTTTATCCTTTTGTTTCCCTAATGATTTCTGGCTTTTGTATTGTATTCACTTCTTTTTATGTCATCAGTCAATGTATATTATCTTACAAACTTTATTTTCTCTTTCCACCCAATGAAATATTTTCTTACATTCTTACCTTACTACTCTTTCTTTTTTTAAACGTATTTTGCAAATATAATTTCCCAAGTCCTAAACTTAAGGCCATAATTTTGCTACAGCCTCCAGTAGTGGGACCAGACTTCATAGAGGTTACATAGAAGAAGCCACACTGGAAGACAAGCCCTCGCAGACTTCTCATATTGTGTTTGTCGTGCATGGCATCGGACAGAAGATGGACCAAGGAAGAATTATAAAAAACACAGCCATGTGAGTTCTTTGCAGACAGTCCCAGCTTCTGCCCAAGGCATAAGCAGATCTACAGAGATGCTGACTCTTCTAATATCAGTGATGTTTCTAGATGAAACCAAAACAGTGACTGTATCCTGATGAGACGTGACTTTCCCTCTTAATTGACATCATTAATTTAAGAGTTGACAGCAGGAAACGAGCTAGTTTTTAAGTTAGTTCCTTGCTCTCTGAGCCTCAGAAATTGAGGATCTTCAAAGCTGTCAAACTTTGAGAAGATTAAGTATTGTTTAAACTGACAGTTTTCAATATAATCTGCCCACTAATTGCTCCCAGGGGAAACAACTCTAGATTGTACACAGAAGTCAGTGGATACTTAACATACAAGACAGGTTATTTATCTCCTTATTGTTAGATACTCAGCTCTATTCTAGAACCTCTTTAGGAACTTCTTGGGATATGTGTATGGCGAGCTGTGTGTTTCAACAGTTGAGTGCTGTCTTCAAGGTCCAGCAGAGCTCATGAGGCCCAGGATGCTGATGCAATAAGAACAAGTCCGTTACTGGGGAAAGCACAGTCTGCCAGATTCAGAGGCTGCCAGTAAAATTCGCCATCTGTGAAGTAAACATTTAGCTCTAGGAATTCGATCCTCCATGACCTGCACGTGCCGTTGTTGAGCTTGCTACACTGTAAGGTCATCATGCCCACAGAGGGGAAAGTAAAAGTGCAACCCAAGTTGTATTGTTGCTGGAGACTGGCAGGCCGCCTTCATTCTCCAGTCCCTTTGTTTCTCCTGTAGGCATCTCATTGCTCTAGTTCTGACTTTGTTTTATGATGAGTCATATGACTTGGCATGATAATTATGTCCTGATGTATCCTTTCTTAGATATCAAGGACCATGAGAATGGTTTGTGTGGCATATACTCTGGGAGATCATTAGTAAAACAGACGTTTAATTTCTTCAGGTACAAGTAAGGCAAAACTTATTACAAAAAGGTGGAATCCTGTGGAGTCTTCCCGGACTCGCTGGCACCTTACAGGAGCTGTGCCGTAGAAAGGCCATGTGGGTGACACCACATGGACACAATTCGTGAACAGACTGTAGGAGACTCTACAAGAAAGAGGGACCTAATGTCTGCAGTGAATGGAGCATAATGGAGCATACAGTGTTTGGAGCATAAATGCAAAATGTTTTAATGTTATTATGAAATAGTTTTTATAGTCAGTTGGGGAAATGAGGCCAATGAACTACATATTTGCTAAAATTTAAAAATTACTTGATTGTAATACTTTATTATTGAATAGATGTTATTTTAGAAAATCTGCTGTTCGGAGATAAGATGACTGGGGATATAGCTCAGTGGTAGAGCATTTACTTCATGTGTGCAAGGTGTAACTCAAGCATGTGAAAGCCTGGGCTGAGGGTTTGTGTGAGAAATAAAATGGTGTGGTGTCTGGGATTTGCTTTAGACTGTGAAAGGAAGGCCCGCCTGGGGAGGGACAGCAGGAGGGAGCGTTCACAGTGAACTCTGAGTGTGTGTCTTCATTAGGTTGTGCTCCTCAGAATCCTATTGGGGTGGCAGAATTTATGTAACTGGCTAAAGGAAAGCTGTAAGTGCATTAATACCTTCATTTTCAAAGTAAAAGATTGAAAATTACATTAGAAAGAAGAGGTAAAGGGGGCAGAAAGATTGCAAGAGCCGGAGGACCAGGAAGTCTTCTGCAAGACAGTGTCTTCTAGCTATGACAGGGCAGCTGTGCACGTGAAGCCTCAACAGTGTGACAACCTGAACGGGACCTGAACAGTGTGACGACCACTAGCCATGCCGGCATGGATGAGGAGAACCCATGGGGGCCATCACTAGATTAAGAGCTACAGGCACTACTCAGAGACAGAAAAAATTAGTAACCCTCAGGATGAACCCCCAATTGGTTCTCCAGTACCATGTGGTCATACCTGAAATTACATACATGTAAGCAGCACTATAAACAGACTCAGCAGGTTGTGTTTATATATTTATTCATCTGTATGTATGTGTGTAACAGTAATAATTGGCAAAAAAGAGGCCATGAATTGAGAGGGAGTAGGAGAGATGAGTACAGGGATATGAGAGGAGCTGGAGGGAGAAGAAGGGGGAAGGAAATGATGTGATTATATATTAATTAAAAATAAAACTTTTTAAAAGGAGATGAAATGAGATAGTTCATGACTGGACGCATGATGTGTGGAGATGAACAAAAGCACGGATGTGTTCGTTATGTTCTTGCATCCCTGAAGAACTGTGTCATTTCGAATGTAATGTAAGTGGGAGCATCTGAAGTCCTGAGTGACAAATAGGAAAATAACTGAGTATAACCAGCTTAGTGTCACTGTCGGTGGGATACAGCTGGACAGAGCTGCCAGGAAGTGGAAGCGTTACAATGAGAGATACTTACACCATGTAAAGACTTTCATGAAGTTACTCTCAAAAATTTTTCTTACATTTATTTACTTTTTAGGATGAGAGAGGCTGCAAGAAAAATAGAAGAAAAGCATTTTTCCAACCATGCGACACATGTTGAGTTCCTGCCTGTTGAGTGGCGGTCAAAGCTTACTCTTGATGGAGGTATATTCTGTTTGGAAATGGAATGATTTTAGCCAATGATAAACCTTTACTAGAGTAAATACATGGTTTTAGAAATATTTTTATTAGGAACAAAATCTTGGTCGTGTTGAGCAGCATGTGTCTTTAATCCCAGCCCTTAGGGGTGGGGAGTGGGGGATAAAGCAGGTGGAGCTCTGGCTGATACAGCAAGTTCCAGACCAGGAAGACACACACACATGAAATCTGTTTTAAAATTGTCTGAGTATTTTCACTTTTTGTTTCTGATTATTCAAGAACATACTTGAGGGGAAAAAAACTGATTTTTTAAAAATTGACAAAACTGACTTGTATCTGGACTGCCATGTGGACTTCACAGATAGCATGTTTGTGTGTGTCCTTTGTGATCTGGAGGTAGAAGAAGGAGATCTAGGTCTGTGTGACAGTAACGCCCACCTTCGTCATTGTGGCACACTGCCCTGGGTGCAGCCACAGAATCTTCCATGTCTGTGTTATTGTCTCCTGGTTAGCAACTTCAACTAGAGCACTGCACTCCAAAGTGGCATCAGGAATTGTAATGCACTTTTACAAAATAAATATGTCATAGTTAGGGTTTCTATTGCTGTGAAGAGACACCACGACCACAGCAACTCTTATAAAGGAAAAACATTTATTTGGGGTATCTTACAGTTTCAGAGGTTTAATTCATTATCATTGGTGAGACATGATAAGTGTGAGGTCCAGAGAGATGGTCCTTCCCTTCCTTACTCACTGTTACAATGTTGCTGCTGTCGGTGTTGTGCCTTTGTTACCTATGTCTTCTGGAGAAGTGGCAGAGTGTCCTACATCTTGACTTGCAGGCAACAGGAGGTGAAATCCAAGACTGGGCAGAATCTTGAGCATATAGGAGACCTCAAAGCCCACCCGAACAGTGACACTCTCCTCCAGCAAGACCACACCTCCCTTTGGGGGACATTTTCTTTCAAACCACAAAGTAGCTAAATGCTAGTGACCAAGGAAGATGTCTCAGCAGTTATGGTGCATATGTAAAGTTCCATATTTGCTGTGAGAGAATGCTCTTGTACATTATAGAGATCTGTCACTCCTGTTAGTTTAATAAAACGCTGGTTGGCCAGTAGCCAGGCAGGAAGTATAGGTGGAGGTGATGAGACTAGGAGAATTCTGGGAAGAGAAAAGGCAGAGTCAGTCACCAGCCAGATGCAGAAGAAGCAAGATGTAAATGCCTCACTGAGAAAAGGTACCAAGCCACGTGGCTAAACATAGATAAGAATTATGGGTGAACTTAAGTCATAAGAGCTAGTTAATAATAAGCCTGAGCAGTAGGCCAAACAATTTATAATTAATATAAGCCTCTGTGTGTTTAGTTGGGATTGAATGGCTGTAGGACTGGGAGGAACAGGAATTTCCGTCCACACATATAGTAACACTATGGGTTTTTCTGGCTCACCCAGGTAAATGTCAGGAATGTAGACAACAGGATGAATTAACATTTCCTAAACCCCTGAGCCTGTAGTTCTGGCTAAGTTCACATTGTCGTGATACTTGTTTGTTTTTGAAACAGTCTCACCTTTGTAGCCCAGATGGCCTTGGACTTACAGTCCTGCCTTAACCTCTTGAGCCCTAGGATTCTGGGAATCACCTACTGATGATTCAGTCCCAAATAAACAGAGGTTTTGATAGTTTTGAAGGTATTAAGATAACTGAAAGAAGCCAACCAGAAAGATCTCATGTTTTATGCTTCTGTTCATTTAAGTAGAAAAAAGCAAAACTACAGTCACAAAGAACAAACCAGTGACTGTCAGAATTTAAGGGAGGGGAGAGAACTGTTTAAGTCAGGACAGCTCTGTGTCCTCATCACAGCCTTTGTTACATAAAACTGTGCAAGTATTAATATTCACCATCAGCTTTACTCTGTAAATTTCAGAGTAAAAGCATGGTATAGCAAATATCAGTGTAGTCATTGGTAGTGAAAGAGTAAAAAGAAACTAAGATGTCCATGGACGTACTGTCTTTGCAGTACAATAACATGAAGAGGGAATGCTAGGCATAAGAAATGTAAAGCACCAGTTCTGATTTACAGGTCCCCTGCTGTCTGCTCAGAATGCATAAAACTACACAGAAAAATAGAACTGATCATCTTCTCAAGGTTATAATGCAGAGGATTTATGTGCAAAATAATTGCTTTTCTATAGACCAGCAACAAACTTACAACATAAAAAATACAAGACCCCAAGAAATAGCTCAAACATATAACTTTATAAAAAAACAGTATAACTAGTATATTTAGGTTTTAAAGTATAAAAACTATTAAAATATAGGAAAACTTAAATGCAAAGATGATTCAGATTAAATGATTAAATGAATATACTAGAGATGCTAACTCCCAAACCGATCTGTAGATATTCACAGAACTTGGTGAACTGACTGTAAAATGGTTGTAGGACAGAGGGCCCAGAGTAGCCAAGAACCGAGACAGAGAGTTCTCAGCTGCTGGAGCCATTTAACTTCTGTGATTTAAACACTTTATTGTTGGGACGAAGCTGGGCCGATAAACCGGTGCAGCCCGGCATGTGTGTGCCTCACCCATCTGTGCTGATTTGGAACCTAAGCCACGAACAAAGCAGTATCACAGCCCAGTCGTGAAAGGATTGCACTGAATGTGCTTGGAACCTGGTAATCCTGTGGGGGAGTTGGTTAAAATGACTTCTGCTTTATGTATCAGTGAACCAAAGGCTTAACATGAAAGCCAACGCTTTAGGAAATACTTGGGAGACTAGTTGAGAATAGAGAGGGAATCCTAGTCTTTATCATGGTGCCTTCAGTCCTTATTACGCTGTACTAAAGTACAGACTAAGTACGAATTAAATAATGTGAAGTCCTAAGGCTCTGCCCTCCTGTGGTTTAGCGTTGTCATTGCTTCTCTGGTCTCCAGCAGCTCCAGTAGGACAGATACATATGAAGCGTGGGAAAAGTCTTATTTATTCCTGGTTTGTTGTTAGCCGTGCCCAGGTGTGCCAGATGGGCATAATTTGGCCAGGGTAAATAGGGCCAAAAATTTGTTAATAACCTTCATCCTCTAACATTCCTTTTTTGTTGTTGTTGACTTTTACTTTTTGTTTTGTTTTATCTTGGATATTTTGCAAGGAAGAAAGATCCCCACTAATGTTTATTACTTAAATATTAAGTTACTTTCGGAAATGTGATTTTTCCCTGGAACCTTCTGTAAGTTTGATTTCGGTTTTGTTTTGTTTGTAGACACTGTTGATTCCATTACTCCCGACAAAGTGCGAGGCCTGAGGGACATGCTGAACAGTAGTGCGATGGACATAATGTACTATACTAGCCCGCTCTATAGGGACGAGGTAAGTGCCAGGACTGTTTTGGCATGTTAAGTGCGCTGTATAGTAACATCGGCCTTTTAGTAGTGAATGTGCTCAGCTTAGGCCAAGTCTTCCCAGCGTTTCCCAGAGAGGCCTCGTAAGAGCAACCGCTCAGTGTTCCTTAAACACACAGAGGAAGCAGAGCTACAAAGAGAGACCTTGTCTCAAAACAAGGAGAGAGGTACATGGTGGTTCACACTGCAAGCCCAACACTCAAGAGCCTAAGACAGAAAGATTGCCATGAGTTCAAGACCCCTGTGAGCCACACAGTGAAGCCCTATCTCAAAAAAAGGTAGAATAATAAAAATAGCTTAATTATAAAGTGTATAGAGACTAGGAGTGAAGGTATTCTGAGCTCCTGATTTATGAAATATGCTTATAGGTATTTTATATATGTATGTATATATGTATATGCAGATGTCTGTGTTTACATGCATACATTTCCCAACAGTGTTCACTGAAATAGCCAGAAACCAAGGCTTCCCATTATCGCACAACACCCAGATGTTGATAGTGCCTTATTCCCCATAAAGAAAATTTACAATTCCTTGTGGATATAGCTGATTCAGAGGCCCAAACAATTTGTGACAGAAACTACAGAAATGTTCAAAAGAATAATGGCAGGTCTCAAGGATAGGAGCTAGAGAACTATTGCAGTCGGCTGAACCTGAGCCTGTCTGGGACCAGAGAGCTTCACCACAGGAATTGTTAGTACTTCAACATGGGATACAGTAATAGCAATGCAGTTTACTTTAGGATTGTAAATCCTTTTTAAAACTTTGATTTGTACTGATGAAAAATGGACTGGATAGTGGCTAGGTCTCTTGCTTTTAGTGGAACAGTAAAGCTGATGGGAGCTGCACAGTCGTTTTACAGCAGGCGTGGCGGTGCTGAGGGTAAGCTGCACATGCTCGTCAGTGAGTGTGAACTGAGAGTAAGCTGCACATGCTCGTCAGTGAGTGTGAACTGAGAGTAAGCTGCACATGCTCGTCAGTGAGTGTGAACTGAGGGTAAGCTGCACATGCTCGTCAGTGAGTGTGAACTGAGGGCAGTGTTGCTTAGGAGCAGGCTATTGTGTGCATCCCCACAGAAGAGGAACAGTAATTACACACAGGAGAAATCGGGCAGCATCTATCCTGGGTTTTCCCAAGGGACAGGTGGACATTGTGAGCCTTTGAATATGGTACCCAGAGGAGGATGCAGCATGCAGCATCCTAATATTGAGGAAACACCTGAGAAACGCAGACAAGGTGTGGGCTGGGCTGTATTCTTTTCTGTTGTCAGTATCATAGAAGACAGTAATTACAGGAACTATTGCCGATTACAGGGGTGAAGAGATCTGATAAATACTCTATCCCACTTCCGGTTGTCCTGCCGTAGATGAAGAAGCTGCAGGAATGGATGACAGAGTTGGGTTGTGGTGGTATATTAGATAAAATATATCCAGGTAATGCCACGGGGCACGAATAATCACAGTAGAAATGTTCCTAGCATCAGGAAATGTAATGAGATAAAAGATGACAGTGTGTACACTGTATCCCTCAAGTAATTGCCAGAGATGTTGGGAAGGTGTGTGACTGCATACTTACAGAAGCAGAGAGAGTAACTAACACAAGTGTGGTCAACGCTAACAAAAGGAGAATCTGAGGAGGGGAATGTGCTTCTGAGTGCAAGTGCCTGTGGAGTCCAGGAAAGGGAGCCGGCATTAACGGCTGTGAGCACCCTACGTGAGTGCTGAGTTCTAAGAGCAGTGTGCTCTAACAACCCCAGAACCAGCTCCACCACAGACATTTGATTTTTTGTACTGATTTTACTTTGTAACATTTTATATTTTCAAATAAAAATTTGAGGAAACAAAATATTCAAGTTAAGGGGAAAAACAGTTTTCTAGGTCCATCCCCTAGAGGTTGTGATTCACTTGGTCTGAAATGAAGCCTGTGTTTATATTTTAAATTAGCAGATCTCCTAGGTACTACCATCAGGGAATTCTGGGTAGTGCTTCTTAAAGCATTATGAAGAAAAAAGGAGTGCATAGTAAGCGGTGTTTCTTGCTCACTCGCTCGCTTGTTTACAGTCTGTAGATTAGATGTGGTGCAGCAGTTAAGAGCACTTGTTGCTCCTCACTGGACTCTGGTTCGGTTCCCAGCACCCACATGGTGGTTCACAACCATTGTGACTTCAGTTCCTGGGAATCCTAACCCCCTCTTCTGACATCCTCCAGACACATTTGATGCACAGACATGTATGCAGATAAATCATTCATAAAAAATAAGATAATCAGAATAAGCTGCAATCCCTCACAAAGACAGTAAAATAATCAGTGACTAGGAGGAGGAGCACGGTCGTGTCCTGTGGTGAGGACCTTTGCAGCAGCAAAGCTGCCTCAAAAGAATGGACACTCCCTTCAACATGGAAACGAGTGGACGCTAAGCCACCACCAGCCAGGGTTAGAGGGACAAGGCTGTGTGTCAGCTCTTCCTTCTCAGGCCAAGGCCACACCTTCTGAGGATTGTGTTTTTAAAATACGTGAAAATTGGGTGCTTTTTTTGCCAGTGTACTGAAGTACTTCTGTGTTTACCTAGTATAAACCTTAGAATCAGGACCTTCAAGAGTAAATAGTAGTAGAGATGAGTCAGTGTCTTACTGCCCAAGCACACACAACATCCTGGATTCAATCCCAAGCAACACACTCCTGTGCCCTTTCTCTGTAGCTGCTGCTTGGATTGTAAGGAAGGAATTTTTTTTTTTTTTTTTTTATCTTACGGATTTTTGATACTGTAAGAGCTCACTCCAGAGATTACAGCTCCCTTGATGAACAGCACACAGAGTGACATTGCATGGCGTACTCTTGAGTCCTGGAGTTTTGCCTACAGCCCAAGTCTTAAAAGGCTTTTATATTCATTTTTCCTTGAACTAGTAGTTCCTAATGTAGCATTCATTCTCAGGCTAGCACCACCAACATTTTCCAGGAATGTGTTACAAATGCAGATTCCCAGGGTCTCCAGTGCCTCTGAGTCGGGAACTCAGAACCAGAGCCCACCAGTCCACTTGTAGCAGTCTGCCCAGGAGATCCTGATCCATGTGAGAATTGGAGGACAGTGGCCACTGGAGCATAGGGCTCTTTTCCTCTCTCTGTTCATGGCCAGAATGTATTGCATCAGACAGATCACATAGTTTCAGTAACTCAGATAAGCCTCTGTTTTAGTGAGCTCTAAGATGTCAACAGAAGATGCCAGGGCGTCATGCATACATCACTGAGCCCACCAGTCAAAGTACAAGAGTGAGTGCTAGTTTATGCCATCAGGTGTAAGATATCCAGTAGCAGCTGATGGAGTTTGGTTGTCTCTTGATAGAACATGATTTTAAAATAGAAGCTCTGTAAAAACAAATATGTCAGAGAAACCGCTGGCTTGTTAACTAGTGAGGTAAAATGAATAAAAACTGAAAATTTATAATCAAATAGAAGAAACAGTAAGGAGAGAGAACTGTGCTAAACTTCAGGGTTTGGGACGGTTTGAGAGATAAAGTAGCCTTCTTTGTGGGTTTGAGGAAGGTGCTTATTTCAGTAGCTTCCCAGAGATGAAGTACTGAGCTGCTTCACGTCAGTGGGCCTATTAGTTGAGCTCAGTCACTGAAGTCGTCTTCATTTTTCTCTGTCAACAGCGCAATGAGATGTGAACCATGGAGGTCTCTGTGACTTCCTGCAGCAGCCTCTTACTACATAGTCTATCTTCAGGATATCTGCTATAAACTTACATTCCTCTAAAAATGTTACTACGACTAGAGCCCACTCACTGAAAATTTAGAATTGATAGACAGTAAGTTGCTTTGAAGTAGACATTTCCAGGGGTCTTTGGAGATCTTATTAGAATCCAAAAGGAAATTTTTCCTATCTGTGGGACAGCTGGCTAGTGTCATTTACTGAAGGCCTACAAAAGGATGGCTTTTGATGAGAATCTCCGCCTAGCGTGATGAGACTCTAGTGATGAGACGGTTTGTAGCATGTATACAGACCTGCATTCCTGCATTTTTTAAAGCACCTGAGTAATTTAATAACCTGTTTATATTTCAGCAATCATGTTTGTTTTTCTTAATGCGTTTGCATTTAGAAATAAAGCTTATAGCCCTCAATGAAAAATCTAATATGATTGTATTTTCTTATTTCAAACAGCTAGTTAAAGGCCTTCAGCAAGAGCTGAATCGATTATATTCCCTTTTCTGTTCTCGGAATCCAGACTTTGAAGAAAAAGGGGGTAAAGTCTCAATAGTATCTCATTCCTTGGGGTGTGTAATTACTTATGATATCATGACGGGCTGGAATCCAGTTCGACTCTATGAGCAGCTGCTACAGACAGAAGAGGAGCTGCCTGATGAACGGTGGATGAGCTACGAAGAGCGGCATCTTCTTGATGAACTCTATATAACGAAGCGACGGTAAACATCCCTAGATTTTTGAAAGTGTTGGAAACACCCTACCAGAATTGCTGATGTTCTTAAGAAAATGCCTTGGGTCTGGAGAAATGGCTCTGTGGTTAAGAACACAGGCTGATCTCTCAGAGGACCAGAGTTGAGTTCCCAGCACCCACATCGGGCTGCTCACAACTCCTGTAACTCCAGCTCCAGGAAATCCAGTGCCTCTTCTGTGCTCACACGCATGCATAGAACAAACACAAATATAGTAATAAAAAAAGCTTTATGCTTTGTTCAAGGTATAGATTATTAGATAACATACCTAACCAACCTATAGGTTATTAATTTTTATACTTTTATTACATGCATTTTTCCACAGAATAATTTCCTCTTCCTCCATCTTTGCTCACAGTTTGTTCCCACTGTCTGCAGTTTGTAATCGTTTGTTTTGCTGGTCTGTACCTTTATTCTGAAAATAGTATTAAAACTTTGTTACTCTTGGCCAATTATTTTACATGTTATCTCTTAACAGTTATATAGCATATAACTATAAGCAGATTTAATGGCCCTCTTAGCATCCTTTAACTCTTTGCTGCATTATTATCTTAGGTGACACTTGCGTTCACCATCTTCCTCCTCTAACTGATACAAGTTTACAATGGAAGACACTGATTCTGATAGTTTAGCGTTTTATACAAACAACTGGGTTAACTGACAAAATTTTTACTCAAAGCATTGGTTTTGTTTTACTTTTAGAGTAGTTGTCTCAGGATTTGATTTATTAGGTGCCGAAGACATAAATATTATGATAACAAAATGATTATTAGTCTCGGAAGAAAATGACGTTTAGCAGGTGTGGTAGCACACACCTTCAATTCCAGCCTCAAGAAGCAGAGGCAGGTAGATTTCTGAGTTTGAAGCCAGACTGGCCTTTAAAGCTAGCTCCAGGACATCCAGGGTTACCCAGAGAAACCTGTCTCAAATAAACATAAAAGAAAATAAGTTTGGCAATCCTCAGAGCAGCATTCGTGATGTGTAAATCCAGTGACACTTTGAGTGGACAGGAATTTGGTCGTCAGACCACACAGTCGCCTGCTGCACCAGCTCCAGGAGGCCAGCACCCTCTTCTGGCTTGTGCAGGCACTCCATTCACATCTATCAACATGTGCACACCCGTGATTCAAAATAAATCAGAACACTTACACCTGTTTTAAAAATGTAATCATGGTGGCACAAGCTTGTAATCCTTGCAGTTAGGAAGTCGAGCTAGGAGGATCAAGATTTCAAAGTTAGCCCAGGCAACATGAGACTGTCCAGGATAACTAAGAAAATACTTACATATGTAAATGAGTAAGTCTGTCTGAGAAAGTGAGTCGTGGCTTTCTTGAGAAAGAAATGTAAGCGAATGTATTAGATGTGAGCAAAGCCGGAGAGTAATAAAACAGGCGACTCGGGTGTCCTTAGCCAAGGGGGGGGTCAAACATGGCTTCTCGGGTGCTCAACAAATAATGACTGTTTTGGAAATTAAAGTAGGTGGGGGCAATACAGTGAAAACACCTATAAAATTCATTACTAAATATTGATGAGGAAAAGACATTTTTTTAAAAAAGATTGAAGAAGAGAGTATAAAATATAATTTTTAAAGCAAGGCAGGCAGGCAGGTAGAGAGAGAAGCGGGGATAGGTAGGTGGATAGTTATGTATATACAAGTGTGGTAAGAAGTGCCTTTGCAGGCCCTGAGCAGTACAGCAGGAATTGATTAAACATTGTCACAGAAGGGGCGAGTGTGAGAGCCATCGGTGCTTCATAAAGTAGTAATGATGATTTGTTGTGAAACTGTAAATGTATGTGTGATCTCATGCTGCCTCCTAGGCTGAGGGAAATAGAAGAACGGCTACACGGACTGAAGGCGTCGTCCATAACACAAGCACCTGCCTTAAAATTTAAGGTAAGGGAAGAGATCAGCCTCTCATCGTCTTGATACTTTTTGGACATTGGAGTATGGTGTCATGAAAATTTAGTTAAATGAAGGCTTCGTCATGGTGGGTTATATACTGTGTGCTTGGACACTTGCTCCAAAGAACAGCATGGGCGAGATGGTTCTCCCTGGGACCTGGCAGTGCCTAGGTGCCCTTAGCAGTGTACAGAGCAGCAGTGCACTGGAGAAGGGGCTTTCCTTCTGTCTGGGAGGCTTTAGGAGGATTGAACACTTGTTCTTTAGCTCGGTTTACATTTGGCCAAGTTGAAAGAGAAAATAAAAGCAAGGAGAAGAAAAGTTGAGACAGATGTGTGGTGACATTTACTATTTAGAAGGAACAAAATGTATGGTCCACAGCAAGAAGGAAATAAAAGGAAGTGGGCAGGCAGGAGTTCAGGGTAGGAAGCTGGGTGCTTCAGTTTATGAAGTCTAGAACAAAGCCCAAGACAAGGCTGCCAGGGTCCATTTGACTGGCATTGTCAGGACTTGGCAAAGGGCTGTGAGAAGAGGAACTGCCATCTGCTTGAGAGAGCAGAGTGAAACTAGGTTCTAGATGAGTTAAAACGATGCCCTAGTGAAGCCTAAGATGTCAATGCTGCCCCTGCTGTGGGAAGTGTTCTCTCCTGGAGTAGTAAAGAGAAGGTGTGTGGACCTCTGCGTGACCCCTGCATGCGTGGTTCACGTCATCTCACACAGGAGCTTAGCGTCCATCCTCAAGTGTGGGGTGACTCTGTGACTGGCACAGTTCTTTAGCTAGTATTTTTGTGAATGTGGTTGAATGCCTATATGAATATGTATAAACCACGTGTGTGCCTGGTGCCTGAAGATGCCGTAAGAGGATGCCAGATCCCTGTACTGGATCCCCCACACTGTTTCTCTGTTAACATAACACCATTTCAAAACCAGGTTGTTGAGCTGGGTGGCAGAGTGCTTGGCCGGCGTGAACAAGGCACTAGGTTCAATCCCTAGCCCTGTGGGGGCACGGGGTGATGAAATGGTAAAGTTGAAACATCTATTTAAAGAATATGGTCTCTGGAATTATCTTAATCTAGAATTTAAATATCAGCACTGCCATACATAATTAATGATAAATGTATAAATGTATCTGGTAGATAAAACTATTTTTTACTAAAGAATTGGATAGGACACATTAAGTATATTATGATCTTAGATTCAGTACCACATGAGTAGAACCTGTACATATAACTGGGTTTCTTCTGATGCAAGTCATGCATAGCTTAATATAGACTCCTCATCGTTATTTAGAGGGAAACGTAGAGAGAATTGAGCATTTAAGAAGAGTGTCAGGAGGCATTTTTCTATGTGGATAACCAATAGATAGATTGACCTTGAGGATGCTGACGTCCATCCTGTCGCACTTGGCCAGGAGAGGAGGAGCAGTGACAAGCATGGTGTGCAGTGTGGACAATGAGCCTTGCTCTGGCTGCGATACTTCTATCTAGTTAGTACTGTTAGCCAGGGCGGGTGTGACCTTTCTGAACTCAGCTGGTTACTCATCTCTGAACAAGGAAGTTCCTTTTTGTCTTCAGAATTCTTTGATGGGGTTGGTGAGATGACTTATCAGGGAAAGAGTCTTGCTCTGCATGCAAGCCTGGTGACCTGAGTTCAATCCCTGTAACCCTCATAAAGGTAGAAGGAAAGAAGCAGCTTTACAGAATTGTCTGCTGACCTCCACATGTGTGCCATGGTACACACATGCCCCCACATACACATCATACATGTCCACACATGATACTTTAGTGTTTTTCATTATTTAACAGTCACAACAGACTGAGAGAACAGTACCTTTGTATTTGTCAGACTGCAGCCACCATGAACAAAATGGTATGGAAGAGATGACTTATGGTTATGAAGTGACGGGGCATTTTGCACAGAATGTCATAGCTTCCTCTTGTCACCTGTTTTTAATATTGGGTGGCTGGTATGTGTGTGTGCGCATGCCAATATGTACGTGGCTGGTTCATGCACTTGAATCTGCAGGGTTAGTGTATGTGTGTTTGGGGGGGGGGAGGTATGCTTGAATATGCAACGCAAGTGCCTGCCCTGTATACAGAGGGGTCAGAGGACAAAGTTTTCCTCTATCACTCTGTCTTTTTGCCTTAGGATAGAATCTCTCGCTGAACGAGAAACTTTCCATTCTGATGAGGTGGCTGGCTTGCAGGGTTTCAGTATCCTTCTATCTGCCCCACAATCTTGGGGTGACAGGATGCATAGCTGCACTCAGCTTCTTTCCATGAATGCTAGGAAGTCAAACTTAGGTCCTCATGCTTGAAGAGTAAGTGCTCTTACCCACTGAGCCATCCTCCCCCCTCAATCCTTGGTTTTGCTTTTGAGACAGAAACTCATCTAGTAGCCCAGGCTAATCTCAAAATTACCCTGTAGCCCACCTGACCTCAAACTCTTTGTCCTGCCTCCTGGGATTACAGACAGGAGCCGCAAGTGCAGCTTCATTTTCTGTCTCTTTCAGACCTCTTCTCTCTATCTATAGGAGAACTGGTTTGCACTGCTTTTCCTTGGGTTGGGCAGCTTGGCGATAGCATGTGTGAGGCTCCAGGTTCAGAAGCATGAAGGCACCATTTCAGAATATTCCTTCGAAATAAATCTTCAGTTGTGTTTTTTCTCTAAAAATAGAAGTCCTCCTGTCTTGACTCTTTTTGGAAAGAGTTACAGGCGCATAGAATTGGAGGCCGAAACCCTGTCAGAGGATGGTCGGATGAGGGTATGAGGACCAGAATCTTGACTTACCTGCTGCCCTGGATTCTGGTTCTTTCCCTCTCCCTTGTCGAGTTCCCCTTCCTCCTGCTGACTAAATGTAGGTCTGTGTGCAGCTCTCCGTGTTCTGAGCACATCCTTGGCCTCACGCGCCGTCACTACAGTCATGTCGATTGATGGCAGAAGATACATTTCTATACCCTTGCTCTAACTTTTCAGCCACACGGTACAGACATCTCAAACTTACCTGTGAACAAAAATAAGATTTGGGGACAGTTTCCTCTGACAGTGGAACTGCATTGTTTTGTCTCTGACCCATTCTTTACTGTCTCCATGCAAGCACCCCCACTCGATCCTCGAATGTTCCCATTATGAATGACAACTGGGCCTGCCCTGCTTGAGATTATCTCTTGCCTCATTCCTTTCAAGAATTTTTTTTTTCCAAATCAGTAGTTTCTCAGTTTCCTGGTGCATCCACACACACTGCTACCAGGTTATGCTTCCCAGAATATGGGCTAAGTGCTGTTCCTCACAGCCTAAAATATAAATGAAGCCTGTCTTCCTTGGATAGTCAGAGATCTGAGTGTTATCATCCCAAGTAGATTCACACACATGCACACTTTTGTTTCAGTCTTACCTATGTCTTTTCTCAAGAATCATCCAGTACCTTTTTCTCTCTACTTAGTCCAAATGATTAACAGTCTAGTGGGTCATTCTTCCAGCCTGGATACCCCAGTCTCAACTGTAGATCCTCACTCTCTTGGACTGGCCACTGCATGCCCCGCCCCCTGTAAAGGCCTAGAGTTGGCGGCTCCATTCTTCCATGGCATTCCCCCCCACTCCGTCAGCTTGGGAGCAGTGGCTCTACCCCACTGCTGGTCCCGACCTTCACGGCACCTGGCGTAGAGGCGGAGCCTCGTGTCACCCTGACCAGGAACTAGAAGTGCAACAACACGCCTCCCCTCACCTCCCTCCTTGTCTCAGCTTTAACTTAAAAATAATATATTTTAAAATAATGAAAACCCCACTGGAAGTAAATTACTATAAAATCATTAATGGCTGGTATGTAATTAACAAGTAATGTAAACAAAGCTTACTTAAAACATAGATACTTAGATTTAATTTTATTGTTTGTATTTTATTATTCTGTTGAAAATAACACTTCAAGGTTGTTTCAATTCAGGATGGCTCTTTTCATTTTAGGTTGAGAATTTCTTCTGTATGGGATCCCCACTAGCAGTTTTTTTGGCATTGCGTGGCATCAGACCAGGAAATACTGGAAGTCAAGATCACATTTTACCTCGAGAGATTTGTAACCGCTTACTAAATATTTTTCATCCTACAGACCCAGTGGTGAGTTTCACTGTGAGCTTCCTAGATCCCTAACTGTTCTCTATGAGCAGCAACCCTGGCAGGGGCCGTGAGCTAACAGAAGATTCATTTCTGACTCGAAAAGGTTGTGTTTTTAACACTGTTGGTTCATTCAGAGTTCATGAAATAAAGTGTTAGAGAGGATCTTCTCTTATAACACCTATCAGGGACTGGAAAGATGGCTTAGTTGTCAGGAGCAGTTGGTGCTCTTGCCTAGGACCTGGGTTTGATTCCCAGTACCCACTTCAGGTGATTCACTACCTTCTGTGAATCCAGCTTCAGCGGAGCCCCCTTCTGGCCTCCATGGGCACTGCACACTTCCTTATGGTACACATACACATAACTCTTAAGTAAATATAAAAAAAAACTTTTCTGCTTTAAGTGCTGTTTTTCTGAAATGTTGTATAAAATTGAGATGAGTCTGACAGATCCCCTTCAAAGCATGAAAGGTAATATCATGCATTAGTTGAGTCAATGTATAAAATGCTCATTTTTTTTCAATTTTTTACTATATTTGTTCTTTTAAATGTTTTTAAAGGTAAACACTGAGATCTTCCATGCTGTTATAAATAGACAAGTATTTTCAGACTGGAGTAGCTCTGCATTAAAGTGCTCGCTTAGTTTGCAGGGGGACGGGCATGACACACTACCTGGTTCAATTTCTCACTACACAGTGCAGAAATTTCCTTACATCTCGTTAGGGAAAACAGTCAGTATAACACACATAGAAACACTATTTTAAACAGTTATCTGAAATTAGCTTTTATTATAATTGTGTGAACTCTTTTTGAAAACTGATTACCTAGCGCTAAATAAACATTGGCTGACGGACTATTGAATTTTAGAAAGACCCATGTGTTTAAATTTCTAACTGCCATGTCTAAGAGAAAACTCCCAACTGAAACGGAAGAGCTAAAAATAAGCTTCCTCTAGGATGGCAGCCTAAGTCTGTTAGAGGCTTGGATACAGAGCACGGTCGAGGCGGTCACTGAGACCAGCATGTCTGTATGTTCAAGTGTTTTTCTGCACACATGAATTCTGTTTTCTTTGTACATCTCAAATTAGGCTTCTCTGTGTTTGGTTCTGGGATTTGAACCTAGAGCTTCACGTGTCCTAAGCGTGCATACAAGCTGCATTGTTTTCCCTAATACTTTCTTTAATGCTTCGGGTGGACCTTTGCTAGGCAGGTTTTGCAGGCATCCTCTTTTCCTCCTATGAGATGGCTCTGAGATCATGTAACCAAACGGATGGCAGACCGCTAATGACAGTTAGTGATAGAGGTGGGCGTCTGTGCTACACCTACAGTGGGTGACTGACTCATTGCTATAGAAGGCAGCCTTGGGTTGGCTTTTAAGTTAGGCTCTTTCTTATTGGAGTCAGGTGTTTGCAATCAAGTATAACAAGATCTAAATATTAGATCTTATTTACTACATTTTGGGCTATCATCCACCACTTCAGCTTTGTGAGTCTGACATAAATCTTGTTAGATTATATCAGAATGTGGTAAAAAATAAAAAAACCTTAGTCCTTTTCACTGAAAATAATTTAATAGATACCATTAGTCAAAACTAACTCCAGTTTTTTTGTAGTCTCATCAGTAGGAATATGTAATTAGACAACCACATATATTAGCAGTGAGAAATATGAAGTATATTTTAAAGCCACTTTTTAAATTTTTGCTCAAAGATTTACTTACTCAGCTGAGCTTTAGGAATAAGTATTTTAGTAAAGTCCAAACATTTTGTATTAATGTTGTATTTCTCTGCATTTTTAAATGTCTAGGCCTACAGGTTAGAGCCGTTAATTCTGAAGCACTACAGCAACATTTCCCCGGTCCAAATCCACTGGTACAACACTTCAAATCCTCTACCTTATGAACACATGAAGCCAAACTTCCTCAACCCAGCAAAAGAACCTACCTCAGTCTCAGAGAGTGAAAGCATTGCAAATATCCCGAGCCCCGTTACCTCCCCGGTCATGTCACGGCGCCACTATGGAGAATCTATAACTAACATTGGCAAAGCAAGCATATTGGGTAATTTCTCTTGCTTCTTATCTATGAGTGTAAGCACTTAAGTTGGGGGTGGTTGGAAATCTGCTGTTAGAAAGTTTCCAACTGTCCAGGCTTCCCTGCTGACTGAAGCAGAAGCTGTGGTGTCCTCCAGTTACATTAAGAACAAGAAACAGCATTCTCTCAGTCGTCGTAGTCTTGGCCCTGTGACTTACTGAGGGATCCTGAGAGATGTTTTTATTGCTTCACTTCCTCTTCTGCGTTCTGGTGGAATCTCCCCATCAGGATGTTTATGTCTTCTGAAAGTCAAGTCAATTAGTGCTTTAGCTTCCTAGACCAACAGGGGTATTTCATCTCCCTTTGAGTACTGCTTGTGCCAACACAGAAATTGGACATGCCAATAGCATACCCCTTGAATTTGTTCTTTGTTTTGGGCCCAGTGTCCTTTGTGTAAATGCCACAAGATGGCAGTATAAGTAGGCCTTACCCACCAAACTTGCTTACTGTTTGACTTCATGCTCAAAGGTTATTATTGGCTTTTTATAGCATAAATTTAGTAAGACACATACTTCTTAATAATAGGTATATGCCCCATGTCAACAACATGGGTCTTTTGTTTGAAGCTTTAATTTTGCCAAATACTTCCATAGCAATGAACATCTGGATAAAATATCTTGGTTGTGTGTTTGTATATCTGTATTCCTAGAATTTATACAGCTTTTCTTCTTTTAACCATCATTCTTGTTTTAAAACCTACAGTAGAAATTGGAATATTTTTTAGGTCACCACCCTGGAGAAAAATGCCAGTCGGCTGTAATTATGGGTGGTGCCCTTCAGTGCTCTGTGGGGTGAGTCAGCAGAGTGACTGCCCTATTCTGTGACATACAGGGGCTGCTAGCATTGGAAAGGGGCTTGGAGGAATGTTGTTCTCGAGATTCGGACGTTCTTCAACATCACAGCCATCTGAGACATCTAAAGACACAGTGGAAGATGAGAAGAAGCCTGTCGCTTCACCTGCTACTACCACCGTGGTGACACAGACCCTGCCTCACAGCAGCTCCAGCTTCCTCGACTCTGCATGTTAGTTCCTGTGGTTCTCCTCCAGTTTGTGTGCTTACCTCTGTAGCTTAGGAGGGGCGGGAGGGCAGGAATACCTGCTGTCTGCATTCAGGTCTGTAGTTTAGGAGGGGAGGGGAGGGAAGGGCAGGAATACCTGCTGTCTGCATTCAGGTCTGTAGCTTAGGAGGGGCGGGAGGACAGGAATACCTGATGTCTGCATTCAGGTCTGTAGTTTAGGAGGGGAGGGGAGGACAGGAATACCTGCGGTCTGCATTCAGGTCTGAAAAGAATACTTTTTAGGAAAGCATAGTTTTAGTGTCTGCAGTGACAAGTTACTAGATCATTTTAACCAGGGCTCTCCATCACAAGACAGTCTGTGGGGTAAGTGCCCCTAGCTTTTACAATGTGTATTTTTACTACAATTACCAAGGTTTAAATTTCCCATTATCACTATAGACGTGTCCTGTATCTGGCCTTGAGAGTTCTGAAACACTGCTGTCCTGCAGCTAAACACACACACATCCAACTTTATGAGACCTCCAAAGCAGAGGCGTGTTACTGTGTCTTCTGTTCCTGCCCTGGTTACCTGGTATACAAAGGGATTTCTATGAGTAGATACATGTAGCAGTAAGATGAACTTTATTTTTTTTTTTAATCTTACATAGCTGTGAAACATTAGTCCATCAGCGAACATTATTTTTAAGTGTCCAGTAGTAGTACTAGCACTTCGGGTATTCCCACTGGTGATAAGGATAGACAAGTTCTTACATAGCTGCTCCCTTTCTGCAGCTAGCAAGAGAAAATGACTGCTTCGGTCATTGGTACAGACTCCATTGCAGTTACTGATAGCATTGTGTTCTTGCTGCGTCTGCCTCCCTGAATTTTGAAGTGACCTGCAACCAGAACAAGTCAGGGTGGCATCCAGAGACTGCATAGTTCCTCCACACTCAGCCTCCCCAGGGTGGATTAGCATTAGGTCTGAGCATTCCTAATTGGGCCAATGACATTTTTCATTCCTTTCGAGTGCTAAATTTATGTTTGTGAGTTGTTGGAACCATGTAAGACTATTCTTTTTAGACTTTGATATCTGTATAAAACTCATTTTCCTGATTTCTTACACTGAATTCATTCATTTTGACCTGGAAACATGACTGTAAATATGTAAGCATTAGGGACATGCAGAAATCAAAACTGCTAGCTTCTGAAAGAATTCTGTGAGGTAGTATTAAGAAGCTGCAGTTCTCCATAGTCTTGCTACCGCAAGCTACCGGTGATGGTGATGAACAAGAGGGGGGCCAGACTCTCCCAGTGACACTGGAGACCCCAGAAAAAGGAGTGAGCACATAGAGAATCTGAGCAAAGAAGATGTTTTCATTTTGTGTACATACTAGTGAACATGTCTCATGGTAGCAGAGCAACAGTTCTTCCTACCCAGCAGTCGCTAGGTGCTCAGCTGGACAGACTCACTGCACGCATTCCCTCAGACCTAGGCCTAGTGTGTGCTGTGCATGCAGCCTGCAGCCCTGCTGAGCTACACCCATGCCATGTTGTGTCATGCTTCCATGTAAATGCTTAGCAGTTCTCATTTTAAATTCCAACCTTAGTCTGTACCAGATCTGAGATCATCTTGAGTCTTCGTAGTCATCTCTCAATAGAGATAGGACTATTAAAATAATTAAAATCAGACCTATGGCGATACAATTCTGTCTTAAGTCACTTGGAATTTGTGTCAATAATTCTTTGACTTGCCTCAGTAGTGTATCCTTCTGTGTAGTCCTGACTTTTATGTCATAATTGCTGTCTTGCAATCCTGAAACTTCTGTCCCTTAAATCTTTCTGGAATTTGGCTGTTGTGATTAGGTGACTGAGTTTCCTTCCTCCTCCTCACACTGATTGCCTCAGCTCTTCAGGATAACCTCTGTTCTGACGCCACTGTCTTTGAGTCTCGTTATCTGAGGGTGAGGAGGACACAGACTGAACTCGTGACCAAGTTTTCTCTTTGAAGAGTAAGTGTGTCAGTTGACCGTCTTTATTTTCTCATCAAGTTGACACATCTTACTAGCGAGCTTCACTTCTGAAAAGACCAGCTCATTTTAAAGCGTCTTATGGTTTCATTTCTTGTGTCCCTGTGTTTATAGCATGTTAAAGGAAAGGATCTGCACTTGTAGGGTTTTTCGTTTGTTTTGTCGCCCTCCGGGTTACAACCTGAACTAGCACTAAGTTTGAGGAGTATGGAGCTGTCAGCAGACCTGACATTGACTGGAGATTGAGCTGTGCTTATGTATTCCATGAAGGAGCTCCTCCCAGAGACCTAGGGTGTGCTGTTTTGTGTGTGTGCTAGGCTCATCAGCTCTAACGTTTTGGCCATTGCAACACTGAAGGCCATTTTTAACCATCAGCCTCGCCTTTACAGCATCTTGTTTGTTTGTTTTTTTTCACAGATTTCAGACTTCAAGAATCGTTCTTTTATCTCCCACAACTTCTTTTTCCGGAAAATGTAATGCAGAGTAAAGATGATAGCCTCGGTATGGTATATGTCAGGGGTGGTGCTCCGCACACTGTGAAAATGGTCTGCTTTAGAGATGGGCTCAGTGAGAACTGGGCTAGCCTCTGGGAGAGCAGCCACAGTGCTGTCACTGCAGACTGTATGTGCATTTTCTCATCTTCGCTTCAGTGTTCAGAAATGCCTACAAAAGAGGACTTCAGAGACAGGAGGACGGCATTAGGCCCCTGTCTGTCTTCTCTATTGTCCTCGAGACCGCAGACATTCCACTCTTCTTTTCATGTCGATATAAAAAGGCTCCCTGGTACGAAGAACTGCATCTCTCCTAGTTGCCCCACAGCTCATCCTAACACAAGCACAGATGGCCTCTGCCAGGCCGGATCGTCTTAAACCCAGCAGTACTGATGCAGACGCGTTCTCAGTCTTCCTTTCCAGCACTCCCAATCTGCCGCTAAGGACTGGTCTTACAGCTTACAGTTCCTTTGCTGACCAATTTCTCGCTCTTCTGTAGTTTCTCTCTCTTTCATCTTTCTCTTACTAATAGTGAATTTTTATCTTTGATGTTAAAAAAATGTGTTCAGGGTTTTCTTTTGTTATTTTATCCACCTTTAATTTTTCGTGCATCTTTTTCAATTATCAAAATCCATATTACTTGATACTCAAAGAGTATAACATACTGGGTCCTTTTTGGCCTCCAGAGCAGAGTTTATATTGACCTAACTCAGTGAACTCCCTCAAGAAGTCACCTAAGGGGGCTGGAGAGATGGCTCAGTGGTTAAGAGCATTGCCTGCTCTTCCAAAGGTTCTGAGCTCGATTCCCGGCAACCACATGGTGGCTCACAACCATCTGGAATGAGGTCTGGTGCCCTCTTCTGGCCTGCAGGCATACACACAGACAGAATATTGTATACATAATAAATAAATAAATATTTTTAAAAAAAAAAAAGAAGTCACCTAAGTATCCCCAGCCACTAGTCATATAGCCTAACACCTCCCCCAAAATAAATAAATAAATAAATAATTTAATTGGGCTGGAGAAATAGCTCAGTCAGAAAAATCCTTGCAAGAGAAACTGAGTTCAAGCCTCAAAGCCCACTCTTTAAAAGCCGGGCATGGTGGTATATGTTTGTACCTGCAGTTCTGAGTGGGCAGAGATGGCTGAATCCCTGGCCCTCACTGGCCTGCCAGCCTGGCCTAGTTAACATGCTCCAAGCCGATGAGAGATGCTGTCTGAAGAAGCAGACAAAAAAGGCCAGCACTTAAGGAAGGACGCCCAAAGTTGTCACTCGGCCTGGGTGTACACAGACACACACACACACACCTACGTTCAACCACAGCTGCTTTCTCAGCTTTATTCTCTCCACCTGCTCAGGAACAAGGGTCTGTTTGTTTTGAACAGATTTTACATTTAGGTATTTGAAGCATAGAAAAAGAAGAAAAGGTAATTTTCCCTTTTCCTTTCCCCATGATCCCAGAAAGTTAGAAAAACTAGGAGAGTCCATCTCCTGTGTTGTCCCTCCAAGTCTCAGCGTGACAGAATTGAGGCAGCAGGGCCACCTGTGCGTCCGAACCTGTCTTGGCCAAGAGCATATTGTACAGCATTACAAAGTGCTACTGCCATGTAGCTCCTCTTTCCTTTGGAGATTCTGTACAAAAGGAAGCGAGGAGAACAACCCAGACCCACTCCATTTCATCCCTGATCTTCCCTGGTCTTTCCACAAAGCCAGCAAGGTGTGCAGGAACTGCACTGAGGACCAAAGGAAGTTTGAGACAGAGCACATTTGTGAAGGAAAGCTGGCTGCCTAATTTGCATTTTGATTGCTCTAACCCAAGCCCAGAGATAAACAGAAAAGCACAGATGGAGCCAGTCTAGGTAACATCATAGCTGATGTTTGCAGAGGTGACAAGGATGACAAGGGCCATAATAAATAGATAACACTTTATGAAAGCAGCATTTTAGGACAGTGGTTGCACATTAAGAATTAATTTCAGGCTGGGTGGTGGTGGTGCACACCTTTAATTCAAGCACTCAGGAGACAGAGGTAGGTGGATCTCTGAGAGTTCGAGGCCAGCCTGGTCTACAGAGCAAGGGTCAGGACAGCCAGGGCTATACAGAGAAATCTTGTCACAAAAACAAACACAAAAAAAGAATTAATTTCAGGACCTTAAAATCAAAGTGGAGCCAAGTAATTCCTAATGCAAGGAAAATGAGCCTTTGATTTGAAAACATTGTGCAGAGGTTTGGACTAAGCAGGAGCATGCAGCAGCATTTGAGGTTGAGTCCTCCCAGATTACACACTTGCCACTTTTCTGTCTTTGTGACCCACTTCATCTTGACTCCTCGTATCATGTTTGAGAATTCAGTTTTCTCATCTTCATATTCTGGTCTGGTGTGAGTGACTGTGCTTACAAATCTCGTGAAGGCCCATGGAGTACAAAAATAAAGGATTGGAGCATTCTTAACTAAATCCATATGGATTTCGGCTATTTCTGACTTATTATGGATTAATTTTATTTTAATTAAGTGAAAAATTTGGGTTAAAAACTTTGTGAAAGTTCTATGTGGGTGTTTCCTGCAAGTGTTTATAGCCTGGAAGGCATTCCACCTCAGAGGTCCATTATGTTAGCCCGTTAGGAGAGCCTAGGGCTCTTCGGTTGTTTTCCAGTTTTGCGAGGACAGTTTAACTTTTCCCACCAAAGTGGGTTCATTTGAGTACTTGAATGTCACAGCACAGGCTAGACCCCACTAAATGCCGTAGTCTGAACTGTGTGGCAGCTGCTCTAAGGAATCCAGCCTACAGGGGCAGGACACTGTGGAGCTGTGAAATAATAGTAGTTAACTTTAGAAGACATCTCAGTGGTTGCTGTGGAGCGTATCCCCATAGAAACGTGTGTTCTGTGGGGCCTCCCCATTTCTCCGGGGATGCAAGAAGGACTTCAAGGAAGGGAGATAGAAATAGTCCTCCAACTCCAGAAGTATGCCATGGTAACAAGTGGGTGTGTGTCTGTTTCCTCATTATTCCTTGCTGACCTGGGCAGTGGAGCAGAACCCCATAGAACCCTGACCGCTTTGACTCTTACTGCCTCATGATTTAGAGTAGAGGGTGACAATTTAGAAATCGTTTCCACCCAGCCGTCCCCAGGCTTCCTCAGACACTTGGTAATCTTATCTAACTCTTGTCTTTTCAGTGGAGCTGGAGCACAGGATTGACTTTGAACTCCGAGAAGGCCTTGTGGAGAACCGCTACTGGTCAGCCGTCACGTCGCACACTGCCTACTGGTCATCCTTGGACGTTGCTCTTTTTCTTTTAACATTCATGTACAAGCACGAGCGTGGTAACGACACGAAGCCCAGCCTGGATCCAGTCTGAACTCTTGAAGGATATAAATGGACCAATACTTTTTTTTTTTCTGTTAAAATATGTCAAGATATGGAGAGTTGAAGGTTCCAGGTTTTTTTAGGGCAAGAAATACTTTAATTTAAAAGCACTTTATTTGAACAAAAACACATTTTCAGTTCTAAAGAAATTATTTACTGTTTCTGTAATTTTGATTGTGAGTCTAGCAAAGCCCCTGCAGAGAATCAGCAGGCGTGGAAGTGTGGAGGGCTCAGGTGAACTGCAGGGAAGCAGCCATAGCAGCCCAGCTCTCCAGAAGGAGTCTGATACAATGTATTGACCTACAGATGTTGTAACTCTAAGGTGGTCAGAGTTGAGTACATTCTGTGTGAAGACCACAGGGTGGCATCATGGGGTTGATTTTGTGAAGGCTTCCATGTCCACAGTTACTTTGAAAGAAGAATATAACAAATTTAAAATGTTCTAAATTTAACTTGTTTTTTAAAAAAACAACTAATGCTAAAAAGCAATATTTTAACTACTGTACTTATAATTTATTACCTCTAGTTATTTCAGCATATGAAACATTACATTTTTAATGTTTCTTTTGAGCCACATTTATTTTGTATCATGTTGAGGCCCTTTCTTCTCAATCCCCCTTTGTCCCTTTAGATGACCAGATGATGCTGTGGCATACTTCCAGGTTTTGGGGGCTTTTGTTTGTTTTTGTTTTGTTTTTCATGAAAAACATGGTTTTACACAATACTAGTTCAATTTTTTTTCTTAATTTTTTTTTTTATGATGTCACATGTACCTCAGAGAAAGCTGAGAGTTTCAACACAGGGACTCCACATTGGGTATACTGCATTGGCTCTGTTAGAAAACACCTTTGGGCTAGAGCGTGTGATGACTTGAAATATGTAAAACCTGTGTGCCAAACAGCTAACATGTGAAGGGATGTAATGCCACCATCATTAATATTTAGCGCTCTAGAGAAAACATGGAGACTTGGGCACAGGAAGCGACAGGTTTCCACAGTGCTTTTCATCTGGTGTGCGTTCTGTGCTCTGTGTAGATGCTCCCTGAGGTAAGTAACACATGTTACCAAGTCGCATGTTTACATACTGAGGCACCAGTGTTTGAAGTGCCTTGCATTAGGTTGCACCACAAATTGAGAGAGTTTGGATGAAAGGCAGACAGACCATCTCCTTTTCTGTGCTCACGCGTGACCCTGAACAGTCTGCAGATGTGAGTGAGCTGGAGAATAACAGCCCAGTGTCACCTACAGATAGGTTCTGGACTCACTGAAGGCGGCAGTAGCTGTTCTCACTATGGCCAACACTTGCTTCTGGGTAGCTCTCCCTGGGCTCCACACAAGGTGCTGTCTTCCTCCTGTGTAAGGAAGGGATTTGTAGCTGCAGGGAACAGAGCCAGTCAACCCACATCTGCCCTGCTCTTTCCTCTGTAGCGTGGCAGAGCCCGCGACTTTCTGTGGCTGTTACTCCTCGCCCTTAGTGCTGTCGGCTCATTGCTCAGCATGCAGCACTTACTTCTAGTGTTTAAGGATGCCGGGGCCACGTGACCAAGAGGCTTTTGATGACTGTCAGGGGAGCTGGGGCGTCGTCTTTTGAGTTTGGAGGTTGCTGTGAACTCAGGTCATTTTCATTGCCTATTTATTTAGCAGGTCTCATCTAATTCTCAGGAATGCCGAACCCGTGTCTTCTGACCGTTGATAAAGGTGGGTGAGTGCATCGAGTGTCAATGAAAGGAGTAAGTCTGCTTCTCCTCACATCTCAGAGCTGTTGGGTTTCACGGCTGGAGTTTATGTCAACTCCGGGAGATAGCAGGGTTCAAACCACTCCTTCAGTGAAGAACAGATGTTCTGCATCTCTGGACAGCTGTTTCCAGTTCATCATTTCATCAACATTGATGCCGATTTTGGTTTTATAGTTCTTGTCTTTCCATGTCTGCATGTAATCATGGGATATGTTGGTGTATACTAAAGAAATATACCAAGTATGTGTAATTCTGACTTGATTTAGAAGCTAAGTCAATTATCAAGTAACAGTTCACAGTTTTACTCCAGCAAGTACTAAACTGGCCCCTAAAAGTCCTGATTTTGATACTAATTAAAATTCTATTCTCTACCCTGTGTTCATGCTGAGTCTCTTGAGTATTGATCACACCAACATTAACTCAGGTTGGATAAGGAGACTATTTGGAGTTAAATCCTATTTTTCCTTTAAAATTGGCCTTCCTAAGGCTTTTTAGTCATAGCTTTAGCAGTAATTGCACTTTACTTATAATCTGATTTTAACTGCATTTTAGAATATAATTTCAAAATAATGCTGGCTTTCCAAGCCTTGAGAATCTTGACTTCACTCTCTGTCAGAAACTTAGCTTTGGGGCTGAAGTGATGGCTCAGTGGGTAAGAGCACTGGCTGCTCCCCCGGAGAACTTAGTCCAACTTGGAGCATGCACATGGCAGCTCCCAGCTGTCTGTAACTCCAGCTGCAGGGGATCTAGCAACATCACACAGACATACATGCAGGCGAACACTGGTGCACACAAAGTAAAAATGAATAGATTTTTTTTTTAATTTAAAAAAGGTTAGTGTTTGTGCTTGCTTCAAAGGCCTCAGACCCAGAAACCCTCATCAGTCTCTTTGTCTGTGCTGTACCCTTATTGACAAAACCACCCTTAACTGTAAAGCATTTACCACCGCCGCCAAACAGAGTGTGGTAGTGTGCCTCTGTAATCCTAACACATGGGAAGCTGAGGCAGAGTGGTTGCTATGAGTTTGAGGTTAGCCTGGGCTAAAGGCGGGGTAGAGGTGTAACTCAGCGTACTGGATTTCACCCCATCGGCACACAAACCCAGAGCACACTTGGGAGGTAGAGGCGAGGACGATCTTGTTTCGGTCGTCCTCTGCTGCACGGGGAGTCTGAAGCAAAGCTGAGCTGCTCTACACAAACCAGTGCCGTGGCAAAGAAATCGTGAGCCAGTGGGATGGCTGCCAAGCCTAATGGCCTGAGTTCAGTTCCCAGAACCCACATGGTGGGAGGTCCGACTCCCGTAGGACACTAATGTCCTAGTCTGTACATGCCCTCACACATGCCTACACACTTGAAATGTTTAAAATGAGTGCCGCGTCAGCTGCTACGACACTGCCACTACAGCAGTGACACCTAAGCCCCTCAAGTGGCGTCAGACCAAGCAGCTGTTACTGGCACACCTGTTGAAGGTAAGTAGTTGACCCTCCTCGTCAGTTCTAATGAGTAAGACATTTCAAAACTTGAAAAACTGACCAAAAGATGTTTAAAATATTTTTGAATCTTACCATATTTACAGGCCAAAGAATGATGAGATATTAATAACTGAAAAAAAAAACACCAAACTGAGTATGGATTGGTTGTGATTTGTTTGTTCCCATTTTGTATCTCATCCCTGCTCTGTTGCCATCTGACCCCTGGCTTCTGCCAGGAACTGTTGGAACTCAGGCTGAACTTGAACCACAAAACTCACATAAGAGAACACAGCCCCTAAGAAAACCTTGGTATTGTGACGGCGGCAACCTGAGCGTGTGTACATCTTGTCTTGATTCTCTGTGGAGATTTTCAAAGAACCCTCGAGTTTCACAGTTTGCCTACAATTTGTTAAAATTACTTTGGATTTGTTTTATGTCTACAAGTGTTTTGCCTGCATGTGCAAAACCACCACTTGTGTGCCTGGTGCCAGCAGAGATCAGAAGAGGGTGCTGAGTCCCCTGGAACTGTGAGCCACCATGTAAGTGCTGGAACCTGAAGCCAGGTCCTCTGTTCACCACTCTGCCTCCTCTCCAGCATCCCCACCCCCAGACTGTATAGATTTGAGTCATCTGGTCCAAGCCTGTCAGTTTCACACATAGCAGCAGAAGTCATGAAGAGCAGAGACGGCAAGCATGACAGGAGACAGTGCAGTGCCCAGCGAGCCAGGGAAGTGGTGCGGTCTCCAAGGAAAGATTCATCGAGTGCTGAAGCCAGAGCAGTTATAAAGATCGGTTTTCCAAAGCATGGGCTGTGAATGTCATACCAGAAAATCAGTGAGACGTGACAAATTTAAAAGTTTCTTCAAGCCTGGATGGTGACAGCTGCCTTTAGTCACAGCTCTAGGAAAGCAGAGGCAGGTGGAGGCTGCAGACATGGCTGACACCGCTTGTTCCTGTCACAAGTGATTCCTTCATCCTATAGCTTCACCCTCACCTGGAACCTTTATCTTACAAGCAGTGTTTCCATCCTGCGCAAGGAGTAGAACCTCCTGTCCTGTGCTATTTTGTACCAGTCTGCCTGTTTCAAAAGTAAAACATTGACAGTGTGTTAGGTAGTTGCACTGGCTTGGCTTGGCTTACCTTGGCTTTGGCTCTGAGTACATGTCTCCACCCCCGTTGTTTGTGATCCTGTCACTGTGAGCAGCTTCTACACAGCATTACCTAGGAGGTAACGGCTCAGGGAAGAGCCAGCTGTGCTACCTCAGCCTAAACACACTGTGTTCAGTATGAAATCTTTCCAGAACTTCGATCCTACAATGGTTCAGTCCTCTAACATGCATTTTCTACATATAATGTTCTTTGTATATGTGTGTGTACATTACTAATGTTTCTCACTTACATAGAAGCCTCTAAGGACTCTACAAATTTTAAATTAGAAGTTGTCAAGAGGAACCGTGGCAGGCTTGATGACTGTGTGGGTAAAGGCCTTTTCTGCCACCTTGACTACCTGAGTTGTACTGCCCAGAACACACATGAAGGAGGGCACTGACCTCCTGCAAGTTGTCCTTTGATTTCCATGCTTGAGCTGTAGCCTGTCACGTGTGTGAACGGATACCCACACACTCATGCACCAAGTTTAAAAATGTGGCGGGAAAAGGAACCAGAATTCTTTTTATTTAGACCATGTTTTACTTTCCTCTGAGAAGCTCTATACAGTAAGGTTGCAATTTATCTGAGATTTGTTGAGTTTGCAACATACTATCTACACATACAGAAGGCATCTCCCAAGATTCAAAGACACAGTACAGTCATGTTTGCAAAAAGTATTCTCCATTGTGCTGGTTGATTTTTGTCCACTTGACACAGGCTAAAGTCATTGGGAAGAGGGGACCTCACTTGAGAAAATGCCTCCATCTGATTGGTTGAGATGGGTTGGAAAAGCATGAAGTCTATGCTGCTGTTTTCCTGAAATTGGAGATGCTGTCAGGACTCACCTGCCTTTGTCTAGCCTGTTTTAATAGTTTCTTTTTGCTCGTGGTCTTACCTCACCTGTCTTTAACTTCTCATGTTTGGGCACCTAGTAGATCCCATAGTATCTCCATCATAGTGGGAATAACAGGAGTGCGATAAGCAACCCCAGCACACAATCTCTGCCCTGTGCTCAGGAGAGTCGTGACTTTGGCAACATTCTCCATCTTCAGCAAACCCGTGAGCCATCAGATTGAACAGCTGTCTCCTTCACAGCTCATCTTTATCCTTTTACTAGCCAGATTGGGCGGTCTTGTCTTTGCCTCAATGGTTAAATATTTCATATGCCTTTGATTTGCTTAGAACTTGCTCCTGGGTTTTTACTTTTGGCCTTTGTCCTCCTTTTTGGTTGCACTAAACAAGGGAAGCATTCATCACTCCACACTGTCCAGATTCTTGTGTAGTGCTCAAGTTTAGAACATAGGGCCTTTTGTTGCAGAGGGGTAAAATGAGCTAAAGAATGTTCTTAAGCATGTCTACCACATTGCTGCAGAAAGTTTTTAAAAACTTTCAATTAGCCCTTCGGTGCATGTGTCCCTGAGAAAGTATTGCTGAAGCAAGAAGATGAATACAATAATTGTTTTGAATTTTTTTAAATTGTCATTCAAAAAAATCCCTCATTAGTGTGCCAGCACATACTTGAGTCCTAAGAAGTCCAGTAACTAAGGCAGGCTCTCAGCTCTTCCATGGTAACTGAACCAGGTCATGGAGGAAGGTACCCAGTTTACGAAGTTTTGTCTGAATTTTATGGAGTGGCCATTTGCCAGAGAAAACTTTTCAGTCCATTGGCTTGTTAAAGAGAAAGATCCCCGGCAAGAACTCCAGCATGTCCAGGTATACAACTGGACACTCCCCTCTCCCCCAGAGGCCCTCTTCCTCCTCCTACTTTCTTGCCAAAACCTCCAACCCAGTAGAGAGCTGACAGCTGCAGTATGTCTGAAGATGACCATCCCAAAGCCTTTGGACACACAGTGGAAGCAGTGTCACATTCAAGAAGTCACTAACCCAAGCACTGTGCTCAGCAAATTTCCAGGCTGCAAAACCAAGAACAGAATATCCGGGAAGAGAGCCAAAACCTTGGATGCCATTGTGCAATGTTGAGGCCAGCTGACAAGAACTCTGGAGTATTGACTGAACTCATAATAGGGCTACAACCCACCACGTATGAAATGACTACAGATTGCTTGTGTGTGACTAGCTTTTTCTTTCAGTAGGAAGTTTTAACCCTTGATGGATTTTTTAATTTGCATAAAATCTACTTTTACAATATTACCAAATAGGCATAAAACTGAACTAGGATTTTCTGTGGTATTTTAAGTTAATATTAGCCCTCTCTGCCATGATTAGTTCCTAGAAGATACTGAATAATAAAGCATTATTATAATCATAAAGATATGACTCAAAAGATACAAAGAAGAAACTGGAAGCTTTTGTTGCTAAGTCTTAGCCAGTGATTATCTGCCTGAATTATTAGTGGGATGCTGTCCCAATAAAAATAGATCGATTGGTTTGAACTCAAGCTCTTCTTCAAATCATAGTTTTATAAAGATAAACAAGAGGCTGGAGAGATTACTCAGCAGTTAAGAACATTGATTCTACCTCCAGAGGACCTAGGTTTGATTCCCAGCACCCACACGGTTGCTTACAACCATGTGTAACTCCAGTCCCAGAGGATCCAGTCCCCTCTTCTGGCTCCTAGGGGTACAAGGCACTCATGTGGTACACAGTCATACATGCAGGAAAATGACCAAACAAAATAAGAAAAGTCAGGAAACCAGGGTGTCTTTGCCCTCTGACCCAGAAATTCTATTTTCTATAAAGTTCAAATATTCTCAGATCCTTCAGATATTCTCCTCCATGCAAAGTGACCAG